CCCTTTATTCGTGCCACCTCAAAAATGATGCCTCTGACACTACAATACAAAATTATTTGTCAAATAAATGAAACATGATGAAACATTCATTTTAGTTGCAATTGTTATAGATTACATCTAGATTGCAGCGATACATGACATGGTGAAAAATGACTGAATGAATAATAGGCTACTTAAAGTAGTTTAAGATGAATTTTAAAATTGTGCCCCCTAAAAGCACAAGTGGCCCCTGTCTGGCCCCCCCAGTTACTGTGGTCTAGAACCGCCCCTGAACATAATTGAAATCACCGTTTTAACATCAACTATATGCACTTTTCGGAAGGTTGATTATTATCCATTATTGAAGAGCACAATGAAACAGACAGAGTGTGAAACCGTGTGAAGCCCAAATCCTTGACACCCCAAACAAATATAATGCAGTTTTCTAGTGGATGATTTCTTGTTATTGAGTTACATCTTTTTTGTTGGTGCTGATAAACATTATAATTGTATGCTGTTCTAACGAGTGCGGCAACCAGTAAGAGTATTCTTTAAAGTACCTCATCATAAATATATGATAATCAGTTTAGTAGCCTGTTTTAACATGTGTCATGCTGTTTCACCGCTTTTTAGAATCAATAATGTAGTGAGCAAAAGCCTTTCTGGAGCCCAGAAACATTCTCTCATCCCGCTTCGCGAGAGCGTCACCGCCCCATCCAAACTCACTTCACAAGAAGGACTTTTCAAACGGGCTTAAGTTCTGATGACCGCGGGCGTGTCGCGGTGAATTCTCTAAAGTAGCAGTAAAGTACAGTAAAGTAGTTTTCTCGGCGGATTAGCACACGTTACACGGCGAGGCAGCGGGTCTCTATAAGGAAGCGGAGGCTCGTCGTCACGTCATTCGGCAGGAAACGGTCTTTCCTCCCGGAGAGCTGCGCTCTTTTCCGCTGGCTCAATGCGCCTCTCCGTCCAGAACCCGCGGAAGCCAGCCAGAAGGAAAAATGCCTCCTTCTCCAGCGGACAGACGCTCTCTGCGGCTCTTAGCGGCGGCTCTCGCCGTGTTTCTGACGGCTCTCCAAGCGCGCACGGCCGGCGCGCTCCAGATCCAACAGGCGTTCGCGTCTCCCAGCCGCACCAATAACTTCTTGGTGGACGCGGTGTCGCGTCGCGTTTACCTGGCCGCGGTCAACAGCCTGTACCAGCTGAACGCCACGCTCGCCAGGGAGGTGGAGACGCGCACGGGACCGGTGCTGGACAACCCGCTGTGCCACGCGCCGCAGCTGCCGCAGGCGACGTGCGAGCACCAGAAGACGCTCACCGACAACCACAACAAGCTGCTGACGCTGGACCGCGCGCAGGGCGTGCTGCTGGCCTGCGGATCGGTGTTCCAGGGCTTCTGCGAGCTGCGCGCCATGGACGACGCGTCGCGGCTGGCCGTCAGGTTCCCGCAGGACGGCGCCACCGTGTTCCCGAGCATGCTCAACATCGCGGCCAACCACGAGAACGCGAGCACCGTGGGGCTCGTCTTCCGGAGTCACGGCGGCGCGGCGCGGCTGCTGGTGGCAGCGACCTACACGGGCATGGGGAGCGAGTATTTCCCCAAGAACCACAGCAAAGAGGACCTGCGCTTCGAGAACACGCCCGAGATCGCCATCCGCTCGCTGGACATCGCGGACATCGGCCGGCTCTTCACCTACGACATAAACCCCTCCGAGGACAACGTGTTCAAGATCAAGCAGGAGGTCAAGCAGAAGAACAAGCTCAGCTTCGTGCGCGCCTTCGTGCACAAGAGCTACTCGTACATCGCCATCAACAACGACGCGAACGCGGGTGTGAAGGAGAGCCAGCCCAACAGCATCCTGGCGCGCATCTGTCTGGACACGGACGCGCCGCGCAGGTCCGCGGAGAGCCGCAAGCTCACCGAGTCCTACATCCAGATGGGCCTCCAGTGCGGCTCCAGCGGGAACATCTACAGCCGCCTGCTCTCCATCTACCCCGCGGACATCAGCAGCGGCGGCGCGGCGGGCGCGGAGCCCCATCTGTTCGGGGTGTTCGCCCAGGCGGGCGGCCGGGCGGCCGTGTGTGCCTTCCGCGTGCTGGAGGTGGAGGAGAGATTACAGCCTCATGATATACTGTGAACTCAAGACTGCGGTTAAGATCAACATAATCCAGCTTTTTTTTAAATGTATGGCCGATCATACCGTACATGCACATCTGAGGTGAATTCCATGTAATATGAAAAACCTTTATCATTTGCAGCAAACGGCCGTGAAGCAGATTCTGGAGCAGCTCGTTTCTGAAAACATGCCGTTTTTATTATGTGAACATGAAGTTTTATAAGAAGCACATGCACGTCTGGTGTTTATTTAGTGTCGCTTTTGTGCTGTTGTCTTTGTTCTAATGTAGCTCTTTTTACGTAACTGAGCCTTTCCCATAAGGCCACACTCAGGCCTCCTCGAGCCCTGCTTTCATTGCTCGTGCTCGAGTCTAACGACATCACAGCACGACTGGGTTTGGGTTATGAGCAGCGTAACACTGCTCTGCTCAGTGTGTCTGATAGATTGCAGTCTGCAGGAGCGCAGGAGGTCACAGCGCTCAGGGGGAGAAACTCGTGAGAAAACTCCTCCGCTGAATTCTCTCTCTCCCGTCACCCTGCCATGAACCTCTCGCTCTGCGCGCGGGAAAACACACGTGCTTTAATGACGAACCCGTCGGATTCAACAATAGATTCATCAGCGTGTTAGAGGTTAAAGACAGCTGCATTCTTCATCGGTTCTGATCATTCTCAGGCTAATTGCTTATTAGTGGTGTTAGATACGGCAGGCACTGCTGTTGTTCGTTTTTAGGGTTATGGATCTGAGTAACCCCTGACCCTCAGTAATCAGACCCGTCCTGTGCGTCTGCGCTACAGGCGGCGCTGTTACTGTCTAAGCCACTTACGCAATGAACGGGTACAAACATCATAAAGAGCCATAGACATGAGAATATCAGAGTTAATGTCACTCACTTCCGTGCATTCTGTGTTCCAGCTTCAGGAGGAGCAGCTGAACTGTGGGGCCGCTCACCTGCAGCACCCGCTGGCCCTGAGGAGGCCCCTGAGGGCCCGACCCATCTACGAGGCCCCGGGCCTCAGCTCTATTGCCGTGGACAACGTCCACAACCGCACCGTCATGTTCCTGGGGACCAGCAGGGGCCGACTGCGAAAGGTGAGGTGCACATGTATAATCAGTGGTATACCAAACACCAGAAATGTGTGAAGCTACACAATCAGGTGGATCCTGTGAACACTAGACAGTGATTTCAAAGTCAAAAGTCAAGTCATAGTTTGTTTATAAAGCACTTTAAAAACAACAAGTGTTTACCAAAGTGCTGTACAAGTGTACTCAATTTAAAACAATAAACACCCTCAGCTGTACAGGAACATCACCAGCTGATGGAAAGTCTCTGTTCAACCACAATAAATACCTGTCATAGACAGAGACCTGCGGATTAACAATAGTAAGAGTGATTGCAGCCTGTGATTGAGAGGCTGTCAGGAACGGTCTGAAATCTGTTGTTGAAGTCAGTGATGGTTTGATCTGCTTGGTAAAGTGGACATGAAACAGAAGTTGCAATAACTGTTGTGATGGATATCTGAGTGAAATGGCTTGATTTTGTTCATTGGGATTGGATTGGATGGTTGTGGTTTGCTAACTGCTGTGATCTCGTGTGAGTGACAGGCTGCTGGAGGAATTATTGTCGAGTCATTGTGGATTATTGTCATATAAAGATGTTGTTGCACGAGGAGAAGTTAATGTTTTGATTAAAGATTATAAAGACACATTAATTAAAAAAAATATATGGATAATTCATTCACAAGAAAAAAATGTTTTCCATTTTGATTTCATTGGGAACTTTAAGTCTGGCATCACACATCACCCTTTCCAAGTCCAAATGCTGTATGAGATCCTAAAAGCACACAACAGACGGTGCTAATATACACTCACCGTGAACAGATATTAAAGCTAACACAAATACCTGAATAAAAACTTAATAAACTTGCCAAATAACTGCTTGGTTGGTGGATGATTAGTCAACTAGTCTACCATACTGACGCATCCCTAATATATACCAAACCAGAATGTATATGTACCATATGAAGTCTCTTAAAGATGACAGCGTGTGTATTTCATAAGTGCAGTGCCGTGACGAGATGAAGTGCTGTGAACACACACAGCACCCATGTTACAGCACATAGAAACACACCGCTTCAAATATTTGATCATATGCTCTTAAGGGTGTTTGCCCTGTACACAAACCTGTGTAAAGCATTCCTGGTGGTCCAGGCCACATGTCCTGCTGCTGTCTGTCTTCTTTTGTGTGTGTGTGTGTTTGTTGTGCTTCTGCACACAGAGGGTTGGTTGTAAAGGGCTTCCAGCCGTATGAGATGAGCTCTGTTATCATGAGCCTCTTTCCCACTGCAGGAACTAGTGTCCTCTCAGCGTCTGTTTACACGAAGCGCTCAGGTTTTGTGTCGAGGAGCTGTGTTCTCTTCAGGTGTGTTGTTCAGCGCTGTAGGTCCAGGTACACAGCAAATTTAAAAGAGTGAATTTAACTCCCTCAGAGTTAAAATTAACACTTACCCAGAGTACATGGGAACCACTGGTAAACTGTTAAATTAACATTATTAACACTCTGACAGTGTTAACTAACAAACTCTTAAAGTGTAAAATATTAACACAAGAATGGATGATGAGAACACCAAAGTTGGTGTTCAAAGTTAACACTCATGGATTAACTGGTCAACACTGCACCAGTGTTCAGGTGAAAATATAAAAAAAATAAACCCACAAAACAATACACGTTTACATTTATTTATTTTATCGAAACGTTGTAAATCTTTTTCCCTGCACCAAAATGTCTTCACTTTCAATGTTTTCAATACAAAACTAAAAAAAAACACACAAAAAAACATGAAATTCATGAAATTCAAAATGTCAATGTAAAGAACATGTTCTTACAACAATTAAACATCATAATGTCAAAGCAAATCTGTGCAAAGACACAAAAAACATATTCTTATTTGGTCCATATGTACTCTTAATGTCATAAGGTTTATAATGCTGACATTTATCAGGTTAAACAACAGCATTCCATTCATTACCATAAACGCTGAATGCATGTTGATGCTCACTAATCAAAGTCTGTGCTGGTGTTTGGACCTCCTTGGAGAGAATAGTCTCATTCTTTTTTTCAGCACGACGAGATGCATTTCTCTGCAGTTTTCAGCCAAGCAAGATATCCACTCCTATTTGCAAACTGCCCCTGTAAAATTAAAAAAAAAAAAAAATTAAAAAGTAATAATAATAAATTAATTAATTAATAAAAATACAAAAAAAACAAAACAGGATAATTTCACATCCATTTATCAAAACTATTATCAGGGGAAATGACAGAGACAAGTATGAATTGCAATACAAGAATAGTTCACCCAAAACTGAAAACTCTGTCATCATTTATTTATCCTCATGTGGTCCCAAACTTGTATGACCTTCTGTCTTCTGAGGAATACAAAAAGTTATATTTTGAATAATCTACATAAGAAATACATGGGACCACTCTGATACTTTTGCATCTTTTTTAAAAGCTTGATATTGATTGGCATATACTGACATTATAAGGACAAGCAGGTCCGAAAATGAAAAAAGGACATACATCATTAGAACAACACAAGGGTGAGTAAATGATGACTTAAAGGGTTAGTTCACCCAAAAATTAAAACTACCCCATGATTTACTCGCCCTCAAGGCGTCCTAGGTGTATATGACTTTCTTCTTTCAGACGAATCCAATCAGAGTTATATTAAAAATGTCCTGGCCCTTCAAAGCTCTATCATTGCAGTGGCCGGGTGTTTCTGTTCAGCAGTCCAAAAGAAGTGCAATAAAGTGCATCCATCCATAATAAAAAAATTCTCTATCTTGCGCTAAACGTTGTACGTGGAAGCCCTTCCGGGCGTATGACGTAGGATGTCGGCGAAGCGCATGCGCCAGAGAGAAGTGACGAACGCGGAAGAGCAGAGGAGAGAGCAAAACAAAACGATTCATGAATTAGAAGTACAAAACAAGGATTTGTAAAGAGAAATGTCGGAGGATTTCAAGATTTCAGATTTTCAGCCAAGAGGAGACTGGAGACTTTGCCAAAGTAAGGTAAATTTGCTTCCTTTGCTCCTGTAAACAAACGTTGGTTCTTGCGAGACTAGCATATTCTCACTGGAGCTAATGCTACGCCAAAGTCCTACGTCATCCGCCCGGAACGGCTTGCGCACATGACAGTTAGCGCAAGCTAGAGGAGTTTAATCATGGGCTAATTTTATTTTTTGGGTGAACTATACTTTCGGTGTTTTTCTTGTTAAAACCAACTTCCCTGTCTGCTCCGCATCGCGTGTGAAAGGAAATATCACTCTGAGAAAAAGGTTTAGGAGTGTACACCACATAAATATCACTATAAATCAATATTATGTTATAAAATCCACATCGCGAGTGAAAGGAAATGTCTTTGAGAAAAGTTTAGGTGCACACAGCACATAAATATCGTTATAAAACGATATGATATTACAAAACACATTTTGTTAGTAAGACAAAACACTTTATTTAGCTGTTTTCCATCCTTATACGCTCCGCATCGCGAGCAAAGAAAATGGCGTCTGTGAAAAATATTTCAGTGTCTAATAAGGTTTACTCTCCGTTTTTACACCGGCCAGAGAGAGTGCTGTTTACACCAGCATAGTTTACATAGTGTTAATCCTTTAAAATTCAACACCACAACTTTAGCTCTTTACTCTGAAAGTCCTTAAAGGGGTCATATGATGCGATTTCAAGTTTTCCTTTCTCTTTGGAGTGTTACAAGCTGTTCGTGAATAGATAAGATCTGTAAAGTTGCAAAGACTAAAGTCTCAAACCCAAAGAGATATTCTTTATAAAAGCCTAAAACGGCTCGTTCTAACACGCCCCACATGTCTACGTCACGATGTGGAAAGATTTACTGTGTAGTTCCTGTAGTAAATCAGCTGTGGCTCCACTATGGGTTTCTGGACATGTAAACTTGTAAATACTATGCTATACAGTAGTTATTCAGTTCCATAGTATATGTGACCCTGGAGCACAAAACCAGTCATAAGGGTCAATTTTTCGAAATTGGGATTTATACATTATTAGGATAGGACAATATTTGACTGAGATACAACTATTTGAAAATCTGGAATCTGAGGGTGCAAAAAAATATTGAGAAAATCGCCTTTAAAGTTGTCCAAATGAAGTTCTTAGCAATGCATATTACTAATCAAAAATGAATCCTCTACCACTGTCCTTTACCTTTCTGCTTTTTATTGTCATTAAAGCATTATTTAGTGTGTTCATGGCTGCTGAATTCAGTTGTAGGGACGTTTGCTCCTCACACTGTAGGAGAAACATGAGCCACACAGTTACTCACACTGGCTAAAGATTATTCATGTGCACACGGCCTTAAAAAACATCTGCCAGCCTCAACCGTCTGAACAAAGGAGCTGTGATTAGGGCCAGATTCCAGGAAGGTGTGTCAGTCGCTCAGATCCAGCTCTTTGAGAGTGTTTCATTCACACAGATAAGATGTATCTGGCTGCGGGGGTCTCGTGTGAAGAGCTCAGAAAAGGCTTTTTGTTTCCCTGCCAAAACACAGGGACGACGTCTGCTGTGTGTGTGTGTGTTTGAGAGAGTGTAAACTAGCACACCTAAATCAAATCTACACAGCACTACTAAAGTGTCTCTAGAGCTGTACTGATGGTCTCAGGCAGTAATAACATGTTATTTATGCTGGTTGACTGAGATACAACTATTTGAAAATCTGGAATCTGAGGGTGCAAAAAAATATTGAGAAAATCGCCTTTAAAGTTGTCCAAATGAAGTTCTTAGCAATGCATATTACTAATCAAAAATGAATCCTCTACCACTGTCCTTTACCTTTCTGCTTTTTATTGTCATTAAAGCATTATTTAGTGTGTTCATGGCTGCTGAATTCAGTTGTAGGGACGTTTGCTCCTCACACTGTAGGAGAAACATGAGCCACACAGTTACTCACACTGGCTAAAGATTATTCATGTGCACACGGCCTTAAAAAACATCTGCCAGCCTCAACCGTCTGAACAAAGGAGCTGTGATTAGGGCCAGATTCCAGGAAGGTGTGTCAGTCGCTCAGATCCAGCTCTTTGAGAGTGTTTCATTCACACAGATAAGATGTATCTGGCTGCGGGGGTCTCGTGTGAAGAGCTCAGAAAAGGCTTTTTGTTTCCCTGCCAAAACACAGGGACGACGTCTGCTGTGTGTGTGTGTGTTTGAGAGAGTGTAAACTAGCACACCTAAATCAAATCTACACAGCACTACTAAAGTGTCTCTAGAGCTGTACTGATGGTCTCAGGCAGTAATAACATGTTATTTATGCTGGTATAAACTGTGTTCATACAGTTTATAGTTTTATATTGTATTGTTAATGATATATTGTTATTGTTACACTATTGTTACACCATGTAATGTCAAGGTACAGTAATATCATGGTGCGTTCTGGTAGTTTTACATGTTTATTTACTGTATTTCTGAGGTGTGGTTATGACCGAAGCCAGCGGTCTGTTGAACACTGAACAAAGCTGCACTCTCCCGTCACAGACACACTGTAATCTCTCAGACAGCGCTCTGCAGCTTCTGAGCTCGTGAACACAGTGATAATGTGGGTATGTACGTCCCTGACTGTGGTTTGTGTTTAAGTACTGCTTACATGAATGTTTAAAGTGCTCATATTCTACATTTTATTCATATTCCAGCATTTCATTCTTTTTTTTTTCTGTGAAGTCCACTTAAGATGTGAGTCAGGGTTTTTTGCTTTCATGATCAGGTTCCAGTTGTACCTTTAAGATTTCTCTATGTAAATGAGCAGCATTGTGATTGGCTGACTGCCACATACTGGTGTGCTTCAGATGTTCAGTGAAGAGCTGCTGATGTGTGAATGCTAATGATGATTTCTGTTTTGTTTCAGTAAACAGTCTGAGTGAAATTTAGAGGGAGTTTATGAATGCAAACAGTAGTATTTCCATTTTCCTTTAAATTAACCCTTTTGTGTGTGTGTGTGTGTGTGTATTTGGGACGGTGAGATAAGCTTATTTAGGGATCTGTGTTAGTAGAGTCTAATTCAATTAGAGCTCAACCTCTGCTTATCCGTCTGTCCTTCTTTCTGTCTGTCTGTCTGTTTATCTGTTCATATATACAGTACTAGCACTTACATTCATGCTTGCGGCAGCTGCACTGTACAGAATAAAGTAAGCTTTGTTTTAACTTCCACTGGCCTTTTAGTTAGGACACACACACACACATACACAGTGTGTTAGGCTACATCGACATTATTCTGGTTAAATTGGTCTTCTGAAATGAGGAGGCAAAGTTGTTGTTTTTTTTTCAATCAAACGTAAATTCATGTTCCAGTCAGTTAATTAAAGCCAAGTATGAATCTCGGTTAGTGTTTTTAAACATTTTACTTTTATTTCAAAATAACAGTAACAATTTAAACAATATTTTAATATTTTATTTGTGAATTTATGTTCATCTGTTCTTCTTGATAGTTAACTTCTAACTATTTTTGAATGTTTGGGATCATCAGTTATCAAAGCTCTGTAAATATTGGTCACAGACACGGAGATTTACCTTAAATTTCAGCAAGCTGATTACTCACTACAACTCCCACAGATCATGTTTTCAGGTCAAGTCTTATTTTGACGAGACAGAGTGGTTATATCTAAGTGTGTGAGTTGTTTACTTACTTTTTTAAATGAGTCTTTCAGACGGATTCACGAATGCGCATGAACACAAAAGAGGTTTTATCACATGAACCAATCACAGCCGATCATAACCAGTCATATCCAATAATATTGCGATGGAGGCATTGCATCCTGTCACGTGACTTTCCCCCATTCATTCTCAGTTACCCCCCACTAAACCCAGCGCAGGCTTGAGGGGGTCTGTTCAAACTCAATGGGCTGAGGGGAGGCACGACAGACGCAGACTCCTGCTGTAGCTTTACCAATTTAGAAAAAAACTGTAATATGTAGATTTTGTCTCAAAGGCCAGGTGTTGATTTTTAAAATGCCTAAAAGCCCATTTCAGCACCTGTGCTGGATGCTGTTGCGCTTTGAGCTAAAAACATACTCAAACTCTGTCCATTGTTTCATCCATCCAGACAGACAGTTGTTGAGAGCAGTCGAGGTGAATGCAGTGTGTGTGTGTGTGTGTGTGTGTGTGTGTGTGTGTGTGTCTGAACTGATGAAACTTGTCTACATTTGCAATTAGCACTTTGTCTCCGAAAGTTGATTTTGGCGATGATGAGAAATGTTTCACACCCACCGACTGTTCTCCTGCTCTTTTCTCAACATTCAGAAGATGCTAATTATGGTGAATTATGATACCATGTTATTATCACACTCTTCCTCTCATCTGCTGCCTCCTCATTTAAAGCTAGGTGTCATGGAGAGGCAGTGAGGAAGAACAGATCGCTCTGAGATAGAAACAGCACTTTGAGATACAGTCGTGATAAACCTTACACAGCAGCAGAAGCACATGTGACGGTCACATGACTTCATGCTGTCCAGTCATCATCATCATGGAAATAAAACTTTTTAGTTCACTTAGTGTACTGTTGTAATGTGTCTGTCAGTCCAAGAGAAAGATGCGGCCCGTTGGAAGTGGAGAGTCATGTGGTGTGTAATTGCATGTGTTGAATCATGTGTTTCTCTACAGCTGTCTCTGCTGGCTAACCTGTCCATGGCTAATCAGTGGTCACTAAAACTCGCCTCTAATGAACCCGTTCACCACATCATGACCTTCGACCCCAGCGACCACAACTACCTGTACCTGATGACCACACACCACGTGAGTACTGCAACCTGCGAGAACTGAATGCAAACATAAATAATATCACTCAGAAACTGTGATCCATCAGTTCATTACATTCTAAGGGTATTTTAAGCCGTGTGATCAGACGCTCTGTTTATCACGTTCAGCCGCGAGTGAGTTTGGCATGTGAGAGCACTGTGTGAATAATCATACTCACTGATGGAGCTGTGAAACTCAGCATATGACTGTGTGTTAGTCTGATGCTCACGAGCGTGTGTGTGTGTGTGTGTGTGCTCAGCTCCTGCGGTGGGCAGGAAACCCTAACACTGAGCCCGTTACCCCCTGCTAGCACTGACAGGATACACAGCCTGCCAAGCCCGCACAGTTGGTGAGCAGCCATTATGCTAAAGCTTGGAAGTACAGACACACACAATCCGAAATGTGACCACCCTTCAGAGAGTTTATACTGAAGCATGTGTTAAACTAATAAATGTAAGCAAATCAGTGCTATTTTAAGAAAACCAAGCCTTTTTGCAGAAGCAAAAATGTTATAAAATTGGATTGAGAGCATCTGTCATATTTTCTGGTTTGTCTTTGTAGCTGTTCAGGTGTCTGCGTGTGGACAGTACAGCTCCTGCAGCGAGTGTGTGAGCGCCGGCGATGCCCACTGCGGCTGGTGCACACTGGAGAGAAGGTAAAGCACTCGCTCTCGTCACTCACGCTGCACACAGACAAACAAAGCAATGATTTTCCAGGATCATGTCTTAATTAGCAGAATATATGGTACTCATATGGTACTCTTTCATCATTGTTGAGATCTCAAGCATCCATCTCCATTCACTTTCACTGTGTGGAAAACAGTTTTCATGTTTGAGGGCAGAAAGAAAGTCAAAGGTTTTTGGAGAAGCGGCCCTTTAATGGCCCGTGTGGAATTTGTCAAGCTGCATGTTTCAGAGCTCGAGATGTTTTGGGCTGGATTTCCTGTGGAGTTTATCTTTATTCAAGGGTTTTCCTGAATGTCTGGAATTGAAATCAAAAGTCACTGAGTGAAAGGCTCAGACGTTCTCTGCTTCACTCAGTTCTCACATCTATATGTGCTAATTGCTCTCAGGATAGTGGCTCTTTCAAACTGCACTGAGAGACTTTTCATCCCGTCTGTGCGAGAGAGAGTCTGCATACATGATGAGGCCAATACTCTATTTTATTGTAAATGCATTTTATTAAATAAAAGTGTCTGTTGTAATTTGTATTTGATTAGTCAGCCTAACTAATTGGACGATTGGATTACAGTTGAAGGATTTCACATCCATTCAACAAAAACCAAAAGAACTGTTCAGACTGGTGAATCTGGATGTTTCTCTAATGTCATTGCGGTCTCTTTAAGCTGCTCTTGTATCTTACTGTCATCTCTGACTCTCTGTTTTCTCCGGCTGAGGGTCTGTCTGGACTCTGGAGTAAAGTACAGTAGACAGACCTAACAGTCCCCATTATGAAAGGCGAGAAGCTCAGTTAATGCTGTTTTAAATGCGTGATCAGTGGGTCTTTAGGAGCAAAAGGTGTCAATAGTGCTGTTCCTTACATCATTTATATGATGATTTCATCCAAAATGTCTTAGACTGCACCATGGTGAGCGGTTCATTCTGTGGATATCGAAACCATGACACCTTTACTGCTGTTTATGATTTATGGATTATAATTACAGACGGAGTATGAAATCTTTGACTGAAAAAGCTTCTAAAATATTTTAGAATAATTTCATATGCCTATTTTTACTCATTTTTGTTAACATACAGAATACTGCTTGTATTGCTTTTAACATGCAACAAACAGAATATGATGTATTTTTTATTAATGAACAATACGATATATGAAAATAATAATTGCAAAATTTGTGAAATCTTGTGTATACACTGATCAGAGTTCACCAAAGCTAAACTAACAGAAGCCTGAGCCTGTGTTTCTTCTATGTTCACATGAACATGATTGGATAGTTTAGTGCTTTCTGTCTTGAGTGGTGAAGTGTGCAGCGCAGGGTCGAGAATGTGTGTTTGTGTGTGAGTCTGTGTTTGATGTGTGTGTTGTTCCACAGGTGCTCGGTCCAGAAGAACTGCTCCAGCGGGACTCTGGGCCGCTCGTGGATCAGCACAGGGGACGGAGTCCAGCAGTGTCCCTCCATGACCATCACACCCTCAGAGATCAGCCGCTCCGCTCACATGAGGGTACAACACACACACACACACACACACACACATTGAACTACAGCAGCACAAACTTTTTGAAATCACAAATTTATTTACAAATTGAATCCTTGCATTAATGTAGAATCAGCATGAAGCAAGTACTGAGTAAATAATGTTTGTTTAATATCATATATTTATGACATAAATACCATAGAGGTCAAATTTATTGTCAAATTTTAGGAATAAACTGAATAATTACAGACAATTAACAATATATTTGACTATTTTTTAATGTTTAATAGGGAAACTGCAGATGATCAGACTACTGTAGTTGTTTATCAATAACAACAAATACAGAACATGATCAATCTTATAACAACTTTTAATTTAAATACACATACAGCAATCTTCCCGTAAGCTCTTATAAAACATGTGCGTTACCTTTGCCTTTATTTATGAGAAACTACTGTCTTTCTGTCAACACAATTTTTTCATTTGAAAGCTTATTTTACGCATGATGAATAGGTAATACAATTGCTAGGATTTGGTGTTGATGTGTTTCTGATCCATTGATCGGTCAGTATCGCGGTATCCTCACGCTCAGATCCGGCCTGTGAAACGCTCACTGCGGTCAGCACTCACTTTATGAGCGTGTTTGTGCAGTAAACTGATTTACATAATTCATTGCAAGCGAAACAACAGAGACAATGTGTTCAAATAAATGACACTATTAAACGAGATGCAGCCTATTCTTAGTAAACTCACAGACAACCAGTCCAGAGTGTGTGAAAGCATCTCAGCAGAACACTGCACTGATCCTTCACTTCATCTGTAGCTCCTACAGTACATCAGATTCTGAGATGAAGATTTTAAGACTATATGAAGCACAAATTGCAGGCTGTTCGTTGTAAGTGTTGCTCTTACATGTGAAAGATCTTATGTTAAGGATATTTGAGGTGATTAGGTGAACTTCTTTCCTGGATGGATCTCTCACTGCCAGAGGAAATGACTCTTCAGCCCAAACAGGAAACAGGAAACAGGCAGCACTGTCAGGAAGTCTGCCATCCTGACAACAATAGAGCTCAATGTGGCGTGTGATAGCAGAGATGAGTGTGTGAAGAGAGAGGAGTCCTGTTACTCTCAGAGACGCTCAGAAACACCCAGAGTCTGCTGCCTTGCAGTTACTGGTGAATGTCAAGAAAAACTGTCTGGGTCATTTTTCACCCTAAAATCCAAAGAACAACAAGCCATTATATTTGCATAAACAAAATGAAGCTTTTTTGTTTAGAATTATTTTTGCTATATTTTAGAATGTTTTGCTATATGACATTATTTTCAAGACAGTTAAGCACACAGATTTCCTCTTCCTGTCTTGTGGTTTTGGGGTGAGCTGTGACTGTGTGTTTTGTGTGGTTGATGCTGATGCAGAGGCAGTGTGTGTTTGTACCTGGTGTTCACTAAAATGTTTATTAAGCGTGCAGAACAACCACCTAATAAAGCATTACAATAATCTAACTTTGAGGTCATGAACGCATGAATTAACATTTCTGCATTTGACATTGAGAGCATAGGTCGTAATTTAGATATATTTTTGAGATGGAAAAATGCGGTTTTACAAATGCTAGAAACGTGACTTTCAAAGGAAAGATTGCTATCAAATAGCACACCTAGGTTCCTAACTGATGACGAAGAATTGACAGAGCAGCCATCAAGTGTTAGACAGTGTTCTAGGTTATTACATGCAGAGTTTTTAGGTCCTATAATTAACACCTGTTTTTTCAGAATTTAGCAGTAAGAAATTACTCATCATCCAGTTTTTTATATCGACTATGCATTCCGTTAGTTTTGCAAATTGGTATATTTCGTCGGGCCACAAAGAAATATAGAACTAAGTATCATCGGCATAACAGTGAAAACTAACACCATGTTTCCTAATAATATCTCCCAAGGGTAACATGTAAAGCGTGAAAATGAACGGTTCTAGTACTGAGCCTTGAGGTACTCCATACTGCACTTGTGATTGGCATGATACCTCTTCATTCACTGCCATGAATTGATGGCGGTCAGATAAGTACGATTTGATGTGATGTGTGTGTAGTGTGTACAGTGGTAGCATGTGCTAATCGTCTGCTCCTCTCAGGACGTGGGGATCCTGATCAATGGCAGTGTGCCGGATCTGCAGGGTCTGCAGGTGGAGTGTGATTATGGCGTGGGAATCACCACAAACGCCACCGTACATCTGGACTACAGCACAACCCAGATCCAGACCTGCCCTCTGCTGCCCCTTCACATGTATCCCACAATCCCCTTCGGCACAGGTACATACACAAACACAGCTTGCTCTTACTCTTTGCTAAATAATTCCAGCTGAAGTTTTTCTTGTATAAATGTACTGAATGTTTCTAAGGCTGTCAAAGGTAAAAAGCAGCCAGAAACACATAATGTACAATCTTTGTCAAGTATTTTGCTAGAAGATGCTGAGACATTATTGAAATTTCAGCCCAGAATATGTTTAGTGTGTTATATGTTGTGTAGAATGATTTGTCTGTGTTTAGATCACGTCACCGTCCCCATGGCCATCAGGGTTAATGGTGTTTCTGTGGTTTCTGGAAATTTCACCATTTATGAGTGTGAACGAACTGGACAAATCCACTTCAAAACTGCGTGAGTAAGCACACATACTCTCACACATGCACGCACACACACACACACTGGTAATTCCTATCATTATGGGTTCATTCCATAGGCGTAATGGTTTTTATACTGTTCAAACTGTATTTTCTATCCTCTTTCTCTAACCCTACACCTAAACCTACCCTCACACACAACTACAGGCACTTTTACATTCTCAAAACACTTCATTACGTGTGATTTATAAGCTTGTTTCCTGAGGGGGACGTAAAAAATGTCCACACAAGGTCAAAATCTACTGGCATTTTATATTATATAACTATATGATGATATTTTGCTTTGGATAATCCAGTGAATGAAAGGTACTTCATCTCTTTTTTCTCTTTTTATTTGGACAAGATTATTCATAAACCAGTGGATCTTACTTTACATCTATGAAGCGTAACCTTATATTCCACACAAATCCGTATTCTGTGGTGTAGTAAAGATATAGTAAAGTCTGTGCCACATTTCTGGTGTCACAGCACACGTGCTGTTATCATAGAGCACAGTGTTCAGATGGAAAGAGCGGTGTAAATGTGCTGCGTGCCTGTCAGGTCTGTGTCAGTTCATTTACATCTGCTCATCTGTGAAGGTGATAATAAGCTCAGGGCCACAGGAGAGGCAGCGCAATGTATAACTTCACATCTGTAACAGCATCATCCGCATGTTAACATACAGTAGTTTAAATCATTCACACCAGTGCACACTCTTCATACTGATCTATATATGACTCTCAAACGCTAAACCGAGCCAGATTCTCCACCACCAACACCCGAGCACAACACACAACAGAGACTCTGAGAATGAAAAGCTCTGGTCAGATTTCACCACACAATCAAAAGAAAAAATATTACTTTACAAAGTCATAAAACAAAGATTTTCTTTATGCAAAACATGAACTGAAGTATAGGTGTTTTTAACAGAAAGAGAGAAAGACTTGTTTGTGAGAGGAGAGTGTTTGTGATAAGGGTGTTTGAGATGATGTCTGGTTGCACTCTCTCACACACACACACTCTCTCTCTCTCTCTCTCTCTCTCTGACACACACTCACACACACACACACACACACACATACACACACACACACACAGAGAGAGAGAGAGCAGTGCTGGATCTTAAACAAACACAGCGCCTCGTTCAGTCTGTGATAGCGGTGTGATGAATGCTGGGGTAATTGTGTGGCTCCGCTGACGCTCATCAGTGTTTATGAGTTTACTGAGAGACTCGGCCGTTCCTGCATCTGTGTGCTCCTGCAATCATGCGGGTCGGTCAGTAAGCAGTCTTCAGTGCTTCAGACAGTTGTCTGTTTTTTTTTCACACACCTAAAAAGTCCTAAAGCAGAGCTTCTCAAAGTGTCATCCACCTGATTTCTGTAAGGTTTAACAGGGGTGTGATCTACAAATGTTTGAGAAGCACTGCTGTAAGAACACACTTATACCTCCACATGGAAACATGGACTGCTTTCTCTTTTTACAATGACTAGGATCCGTTTCTCAGTACTTAAGTCACTCTTTCAGTGAGCAAAACAGCATCAGTGTGGCTGAACCGTGGATCGTTTATCATTGCTTTGACACAAAATACATTCAATGACATCTTTCAAATCACATGAAGGCCTATTTGTGCAGGCCGATTTGTGCCTTTACATACTTAAAATAAACTGTTGAAAGCCTAAACATAATACAAAACTGAATAAGACAGCATTTCTACAGCAATACCATATTGAAATATATTCCAAATGTAAACCCTAATAATATAAATACTATGAAAACCATTCAGTGTAGCTGAACACCTGCACAGCTGTTCAAGCTGTTTCTATGCTGAGAAATAGCGAAACATTTTCAAAAAAGTCGTAAATAATGATATTCAGAATGCTGCTATTCAGCAAAAAGCCATGTAACACAAGCTGATTTCATGATAGTGTGTAAATATTGTCCAAGCTGGCTATTTCATGAATTCATGCACTCTGACCTGTATATGTAAACCCTGAGGAGAATAAAGGTCCGTCCCTGATGAGTGTGTGTGTGTGTGTCCTGCAGGTGCACGAGCTGTCTGAGCACGGCCTGGCACTGTTACTGGGACCCGCGGCTCAATCTGTGTGTTTCCAGCAAAGAAAGCACTCCGCATGTCCTTCTGGAGGTAAGCGGCGCTGCGTCACACACTCACATCTGCTCATTCACATAGCACCTTACACTGGGTTCACATCAAGTCACAAATATGATTTAAGTGTCAGATGAGATATCTTCAGTTTTTATAGTGCTTATCCCAAGGTAAGGCCAGAGAAGCCAGTATAGATTGATTCTCTGTCCAATCCAAGCGGCACCCATCCGCAGCTCATCATAGATGTGACGCATGAATAATGTGTTCTCAGCGGAAAGAATGCAATCCCAGCATGCACTGCAACAAGCTCAGGGAAGTAATTCATTCAAGGTAGTGGACGGAGTAAGAGAAATGTTCAGTGTAACACTGAAATCTGCTTACTTAATCAATATATCTGCTTTAGACACAAGCCAAACTGTTGTGTAAGTCAATGTAACATTTTTGGCTTTTTCCTCTAGTGAAAAATAAATATACTTAAATGTATTTGAAATATATTTATTTCATGCTGTCACAATACGCTGGAGCACGGGAACGAGGAAACGAGGAGACGTGTAGATTTCACAAAAATGAGAGTCTTTAATAATCCAACATGGAGACACAGAACACAAGGATGACGTTCACAACAAGTAGACCCGACGAAGAACTAAGAAACAGACAGGAACTTATAAACACAGGATAATTACAACCACAGGTGAGCGGAATCAATCAAATAAACAAGAACAGGAAACATGACCAAAAAAGGAAAACAGGAACTACTACGGAGGCAAAACGGGTTCAAAAGTCTGACATTTCGCCCCCTCCCGGAAGGTGCGTCCTCGCAACGTAGATACAACAGAAGGGGGGATGGGTGGGAACTTGGGAGGAGGCTCAGGAGGAGGACGGACACCCGGGAGGGTGCCAGCAGACAGAGTCCATGGGGGTGACGAAGGAGAGAGGAGCCAGGGAGGAGGCAGGAGGGGCTTGAAGCAGGAGGAACCAAGCAGGACCCAGGCCACAGCCATAACGGTGGCCCACGGTGGAGCCGACGGAGGGAGAAGCCATGGAGGAGGAGGAATGGCCGCCGACTCCAGGGGGCCGACCAACGGCGGCGGAGCAGGTGGTGGAGGAGCCCGAGGCGGAGACGGAGAGCCGATGAGCCAGGGCAACGGGGAGGATCCGGAGGTCCTAGGCGGAACAGATGGGGTCGGTGACCGGCGCAAAGGCGTGGATCCGGGAGGCCGCGGTGGAGCCAGAGCGACAGAGGACTGAGGAGGAGCCGAAGGGATGAAGGAGCCTGAAGGAGCCGGAGGGACGAAGGGACAAGGCAAAGCCAGAGGAGTAGAGTCCCGAGGCGCAGGATGGTCGACGCCAGACCAAGGTGGCATTTGTGAGCCTCTGGGCTTTCAGGCCAGAACTTAGGATCGGGAGCCCTCTCCTCTTCAGTGTGGCACAGTCGTCGCGCCATACGCAGCTCACCCTCAGCCGCGGTCCTCTCTGCACTCACACCGTCCGTGGCTTTCTCCCTTGTGGCGGGCGTTGTTGCCGGCTCACACACCTTGACTGACATCATTTGTAGCTCCGGCTCAGCACTGTTGCTCCGTGCGGCGATGGCTCGTCGGTCGCGGCGGGCTCCGGCTCTCCGGCTCTCCGTCAGCGGTGGGCTCGGGCATGCGCTCCGCGCAATGGGGAGATGGTGGGCTGGGCACTGGGTTGGGAGTGGAACTGGTGTCCACTCCACAAAGGCGGGGAATTCGCTCGAGGGCCTTCCTCGGACGACGGCGCTCTGTACGCGGAGTTTAAACTGGTGTCATAGAACGCACAGAGTGCGTCGTCCGGGTAGCTGGAGAGGTTGGCAAGCACCAGGAACAGTCTGGTGTGGCCCTCGAGCGATCTCTCCCCCTGCTCCAGCAGGAGGAGGAGGTATTCCGGACGGGAGAGGGGATCCATAGAAACAACAGAAACAAAAAAACACTGAGGAAAAATTGAAACAAAAACGGAGGGAACACACGGAGGTGACTATGTTGGTCGGGTCTTCTGTCACAATACGCTGGAGCACGGGAACGAGGAAACGAGGAGACGTGCAGATTTCACAAAAATTTGAGTCTTTAATAATCCAACATGGAGACACAGAACACAAGGATGATGTTCACAACAAGTAGACCCGACGAAGAACTATGGAACAGACAGGAACTTATAAACGCAGGATAATTACAAACACAGGTGAGCGGAATCAATCAAATAAACAAGAACAGGAAACATGACCAAGAAAGGAAAACAGGAACTATTACAGAGGCAAAACGGGTCCAAAAGTCTGACACATGCTAAGTATACTACAAATACATTTTCATATTTATGTACTTAATAAAATGCCCTGCAATTGTACTTTTAGTATACTAAACTTATATATATATATATATATATATATATATCAAATGATCAAATGATTCATAAATCAAATGATTCATAGCTCATAACTTCATGACTTGCTCATAAAGACATTCCTCAATGAATCAACGTTTTTTGAATGAATCTCATTTTAAGTCACTTGTTTCCACCTGCTGGCATTATGTTGTAATTGATACAATCTTTGTTTGAAG